AAAGAAAGGAAAGGAAAGGAAATATATAGAAGAGAGAGTTTTCTTTGTCACTCAGTAAAGAGGAACGTGTATATTTTCGTATGATGTTATTACTACCTAATCCTACTACAATTCCATCCGCCCTAACTTCAATCTAGGAAGCTCTCCACCCAGCGACGTCGTTTCATCGCTGCACTGACTACATACGTGCCTAGGGAGCCCAGTCCAACCTTACCTCTGAGATTGTTTTATGCACGTACGAATTGTAGATTATGAGGATATGTAGGATATATAAGGATTGACTGTACACTTAAAGAAGTTAAGATTGTCGTTGTTGGGGAAGCGTCCTTTCGTGAGTTTGTTCCACACAACAAAGTAGCTCTTGGGATAAAACTGTCGGTAACGAAGGGAATAAGGATTATTCGCCTCTGTGTAAAGGGAAGGGTGGATCTTAGCTGTAAAGGTCTGAACTGGTAAAACTAGGGAATGTAGTTCAATTGGAAAAGCATCCTGGGTATGACGATAAGCTACATCCGGCAGCAAGAGATCAGGAGATTTGAGGGGCGTGGAATCATCTCTAAATTGTTGTTCTCAGGTCCACCCTGACCCAAGGTAGTAGTACCTGTTAGGGTCCTAACAAATAGCAAACACCCAAAACTTAGGTCAAAACATTTTGAAAGTATGAGAATACATTTTTATTGTAAAAAAATCCAGCAATAGATTTTTAATAGTAAAAAAATATTGTAATAAATTTTAATAGTAAAAAAATATTGTAATAAATTTTAATAGTAAAAAAATCCGGCAACAGATTTTAATTGTAAAAAAAAATCCAGGAATAGATTTGAATAGTAAAAAACATCATGTAATAAATTTTAATAGTAAAAAAAATTCAGCAATAGATTTGAATAGTAAAAAAACATCATGTAATAAATTTTAATAGTAAAAAAATTCAGCAATAGATTTTAATAGTAAAAGAAATCTAGCAATAGATTTTATTAGTAAAAAAAATCCGGTAATAAATTTTAATAGTAAAAAATCCAGCAATATATTTTAATAGTAAAAAAAAAAAAAAAAATTACCAAAGGGTCTAAGAAAATTAGACAATATAAAAAACGATATACTCGTAGCAACGATAGGTTTGCGACCATGTATTTGTGAGAAAGGGGTTCTATGTTGAAGAATAATTAATCTTCTACAAGGTAGCGTAAGCGCTTTTGAACTCTGTCGAGGCTGGAAAGAAAGGATTGGGTAGTCCCCGTCCATTTTTGACCTGATCTGACTCTTGTTCATAGAGCAGTCATGGGTAAACCGCAGCTCGGTCCGTTTAGAATAGCACGTTGAATAGCACGCTTAATTTTATAAGGAAAATAACGCTCCTCAAATGTTTTGTTTCGTTCTCAGTTGTTCACTCAAACGTTTTCTCAGACATCACAACATACATAAACAATGATTAATTACAATTTTTCTTGAATTTTGTAAACCTTTGGTGAAAATAACGTTTTCATCGTTTTAAACGATTGGCGATTTTCACTAAGGAAGATCATACGTGCAAAGATCTTTCGCCTTTGAATTCGGGGGTCTGATCGGTAATAACAAAAACTTACTAGCTTATTTGAGGCATTGAAAGTGACAAGCTAGTTTTTCCCCCATTTGGGCTGTATGAGTCAGATCATATGATATATCAGTTGTCAGGCTGTGCTAATCTATCTGGGGGTCCATATAATATTACAGGGGGTTCACACAAAAAATAGCAAATTGTGATCCACGGTAATATTTTAGTGGTCCATATAGCAATTTCACCTTGGAACGTTTGTTAAAACTGACAATTGGAATTTATACAATAATCTACGCCAGATTAAAATACTAAAATAAAAAAAAAATTCTAAATCTAGCAGAAAATTTGATCAAGCGATGTAAGTTAACGCCCCCTTTAGTTTATCGGATGTTTTGACTGTAAAAGAATATATAAAGGAAGGATTATATATATATATATATATATATATATATATATATATAAAGGATAATTATATCAAGATTATAATTTATTATATAAATTAATTTAATATATTAAAAATAAATCATAATATTAATTTTAAATATTAATAAAATAAAATAAATATTACCATATTAATATAAATGAATGAATATAGTAATATACTCGACATTGTAAAAAGGGGTGACATCGATGGAGCCGAATATAAAAAAAAACTTGCAGAGCAACATCAACCATAATTTATTAATCACCTATTTTAAAATGGTTTATTATGCGTTATTTTATCAGTGTACATAAATGTTCCAAAGAATTTAGTTGTTAAATACAAGTTTATTTTCGTTAAATTAGTTTTACTTCAAAATAAATGTTGTGGTGTCCTCCCTCTAAAGAATCTAGGTTGGACTCTTCCGCCTACTATAAGATTAGTAGGAGAGAAGGCCTTGGGCGAACAAGGAATAGATTGAACACTGGGTCAACCAACACACACTCACTTGCCCTGTAATACTCTTCTGTTGTACTTACTGTTTAATATATGATACATCTGTAAATATATAATATATTAATTGGTAAGTACAACAGTATTAGTATTACACGACTAGTGAGTGTGTGTCGGTTGACCCAGCGTTCATTCTATTGGACTGTTGATATTTACCAGCCTCTCTACGAGGTAGGATGTGGCACAAGGTCGAGTTTAATGTGGGGTATTCCGAGCCTGTAGGTTCGGCCAAACATTCCCCATAGACCCCATATAAAATGGGATCGGGTAGCTGTTTCTCGAGATGAGACTCTTCCCTTCGACATAGCCTCATCTGGGGATCCTCTCCGCCCGGAGTCAGAGAGTTTGACCAGCACAGCTGGGACAGATCTATTCGACTGTTATATTTAACGGACTTCCCCCACGAGGGATGTACGTGACACAAAGCCGAGTTTACCGTGGATTCTCCGAGCCCGTAGGCTCGGCCAAAAATATTCCCTTAGAACCCGCATAAACGGGTTCAGGGCCTGTCTATCTCCCCGGACGAAACTTTGCCCTTCGGCAAAACCTCGTCCGGTTTCCTCTCTGCTCAAGGCAGAGAGTTTGACAGTAAGGAACAATCTGTTCGATCTCCTACTAATCTTATAGTAGGCGGAAGAGTCCAACATAGACTCTTTAGAGGGAGGACACCACAACAATAAAGCATACACATTTACTACAATTCTTAAACTTATCTATTAGTAAAAAATAAAAGTTTTTTTTTTTTCATGGGATTGTTACGAGGCCCACCAAAAAAAATTAAGAGTAAACGCTTGTGAACACCGAAATTAAGCAAAGTCGAGCGTAGTCAGTACTTAAATGGGTAACCGTTTGGAAATACCAGGTGCTGTGCTGTAAGCTTGGATGCGCGGGAGGTGTAATTGATAGCGGATCAGAATCAGAAATCGTGGAGCTGAGTTCGAATTCTAACCGGGCTCATTATGTTATATATATTACACAAATAATAGTTGTGGGGAAGAAATGAATCCACGGAGCATACAACTGCTGAAAGGTCACGAATATGACAATAAAGATGAGAACAACAGTCCAAACAATGTAAATAGGGTAAATAAATACAATACTACATCTCACACAGATTTTGTTGGATTTGTATCGGAAAATAATATTATCATCAAAAAATTGTTAATTCAATATTCAATTGCAATTAAAAAGAAATGAAGAAATATTCTTATGTTCTGGCTTTTGAATAATCAACAAAAGGTTGATAAGCCGTAAAAAACAACTCAGTAAATCAATCCGGGGGGCTGGCATTAAAATTACGTGATCACCTTCTTCTTCTTCTTCTTCTTCTTCTTCTTCTTCTTCTTCTTCTTCTTCTTCTTCTTTGCCTCCACATCCTTTTTCTTCCTCTTTGTCCTCCATCCTCCTCCTCTTACCCTACTCCTCCTTATTCTTTCTCCAACTTTTTCCTCCTCTTCCTCTCTTCCTCGTCCTTCTTCTTCTTCCTCCTCCTACTCTTTCATCCTTCTCCTTCTCTTTCTACTCTTCCTCCACCTTCTCCTTCTTCTTCCTCCTCCTCCTCCGTCTTCTTCTTATTCTTATTCTTCTTCTTCTAATAATAATAATAATAACACGGACATACATATGATCTCGAGAGACTAGATTGTCATTTTGGAGACTCGTTTTGTTTTTATTTTGCACGTAAAACGCGTCCATTATGCTTTCGATGTTGGCAATAGTGACTAGGTTCAATCCTCGCCGTCAAAGTATGTACGTACTTCATCTTCTTCAAGATGTAGGTGATGATGGCCCTTCACATCTTCCTATCTTTTGTAGCTCTTAGCTTAGCTTCTCTTTTAATAGCCCCCACGCCTTGATCTGCTATTTTTAAACATAAGCTTGATAGTTAGGTTACTCGCTGTTACTCTGTTTCTCTCTTGCATTCATTATATCATGTGAGTGTTAAATTTTCCAAGCAGTCTTTCCTTATTAGGTGTCCTAGAAATTTTAACAGTTTCTTCCTGATTCTAAGAAAAAGCAACATTATTTTTTGCATTTTCCTTATACCTTCTTCATTGCTGATATGCACCAGCCACGATATTCCCAGCATCGCTCTGTAGTACCATATCTCTGTTGCTTCAAGTCTGTTCCTCATTCGTGAGGAAATTCTCACAACCATATAGGTGAATTGATATTATATAACAGTTCAATACTATTTTCTCTGTTTCTAATGAACTTTTCCTGATTCTTAATACTTTATTTAGCTTTTGGAAGACATCACTATCTATCTATCTATCTATATATCTATCTATCTATCTATCTATCTCAGTCTCTTCATATCTATCTATCTATCTATCTATCTATCTATCTATCTCAGTCTCTTCATATCTATCTATCTATCTATCTATCTATCTATCTATCTATCTATCTATCTATCTATCTATCTATCTATCTCAGTCTGTTTATGTCTATCTCATGTTCTAGTTCTAAGGACACATGGCCCAGTGGATAAAAGCGAAGTAAAGTTGAAGTAATCTTTTGCTTCGGACTGATCTAGTGATTAACACCTTTACAGAACAGTATTACACAGTTTTTTTTTTCGTCTCCCTTTTCTGTGCAACACTCATGCATTGAAATGTCCAACTTCTGTTTAAAATGCAGATAGATAGATAGATAGATAGATAGATAGATAGATAGATAGATATGAACACGGAGAAAGAAACGCAGAGACTGAGATAGATAGATAGATAGATAGATAGATAGATAGATAGATAGATAGATATGAACAGACTGAGATAGATATATAGATAGATGTGAACAGAGACAGATACATACATACATATGAACAGACTGTGACAGATAGATAGATAGATGTGAACAGAGATAGATAGATACATACATACATACATAGATATGAAAAGACTGTGACAGATAAATAGATAGATAGATAGATAGATAGATAGATAGATAGATGTGAACAGAGATAGATAGATACATACATACATACATAGATATGAAAAGACTGTGACAGATAAATAGATAGATAGATAGATAGATAGATAGATAGATAGATGTGAACAGAGATAGATAGATAGATACATACATACATACATACATGTGAACAGACTGTGACAGATAGATAGATAGATAGATAGATAGATAGATAGATAGATAGATAGATAGATAGATATGAACAGACTGTGACAGATAGATAGATAGATAGATAGATAGATAGATAGATAGATAGATAGATATGAACAGACTGTGACAGATAGATAGATAGATAGATAGATAGATAGATAGATAGATAGATAGATCTTCAAACATAATATTCAAGTGTGTACTCCTCCCGATTTTAATAGCGTAATTTCCTTTATTTAGGAAAAAAACATTTTCCCCAAAATTAACAGGTCGGAAACAATTTTCCACGAAAACCTTTCTAATATCGCAACCTTTTTATGCATCTGAAAATAACAACAAAAAAAACTCTCCGTGCGTAAAACCCTAGAACCGGACCCCGTTTTGGGAAGGGAAAATATATATATATATATATATATATATATATATATATATATATATATATATATATATATATATATACGAGACAACGCCCAGCGTAAGATCTCCTGTTGCCTGTCGTCACAGGCGAGTGCATCAGGTAATTGCGACTGATCCCGACTGTTAAAATCAACAATTTGCATCATATTCGAATGGTTTCCAAATGTAAAACGTTCGGCGACAGTTTACTGACATATGTGAACCATTGAAGCCATTTTTTAAAGTTTCTATTGTTAATGTCCACTGTAATCTTTCCCTGAAATAGAATCTGTTTGAAGACGATTTAACAAACAGATGCCCACAAAAAATATTGCCTGAAACTCATTTAATGTACGCGATGAGATTACCATCTCTCTATTAAGTGAGATCCCTTTTTTACATAAATATTGGCAAATTCGTTAATTTTTTTTTCTGGGGAGGGGGTTACATTAGTTTTCACTCTGTATAAGGATCGGGGGGCACTCGAGTTAGAGGGTTACAGAGTAAGAGGCACAATTTATAAGTATATGTGAAAGATAACAGTTACCCCTACACTTGAACAGGTTAAGAAAATAATGATCGAGGAAGCAGCCTCTTGGGAGTCGGTTCCACAAGGCAGTGATTAGGGGGAAGAAGCTGCTTGAGTGGAACCTTGATCTAATGGAATAACCTGCCACCCCCATGAGTGGCGGCACTATAGGTGGTAACCACCTATAAGTATCCGTTAGGACAGCGGACAGGAGAGTCAAGCTGGGATCTGTTATTCAGATCTTGGCTGCTGTCAAACTCTCTGTCTTTGGGCTGAGAGGAACCCGGACGAGACTTTGACGAAGGGTAGAGTCTCGTCCGGGGAGGCAGACAAACCAGAACCCGTTTATGCGGCGTTACGGGGAAATTTTGGCCGAGCCTAAGGGCTCGGATTGTCCTACATTAAACTCGGCTTTGTGCCAGATCCTGCCTTGTGGGGAGTCAGGTAAATACCGTCGAGCTAGGATCTGGGAGAACTAGCGGCCTTCCGATAGCAGCACGCACACAACTGTACTGACTTGCGACGACCGTGCACATAACTATTACTTCCTTGCTTGTTGTACTGGTTTCTACAATAAACCTGTTACTATTTATCCACCGTGTTTGTCCATTCCATATTCCTATTAGCACGGATTATAACAAACTTACAACTCATCGGGGGTGGGGGATACGAAGGGAATGATGGTGGTTCGCTACAATGGGCGTGGCATGGCGGGAAGGTTAGAATTGGGGGAACTAAGGAGAGTAGTTTCATCCATAGAAATAGCAATAGAGCAGCGAGAGGCTTGCGATGTCTAGTCTTTGAGAAAAGGGTTGTAGAGTGGAAAATAATTCATCGCCTACAAGGACGCGGAAACGCTTTTGCACTCTATACTGTAACTGTCATGCAAGACTTTAATAAAGCCAGATTAGGCCGATATTCTTTAATGTAAAAGTACACACAACAATACAACACATTTAATAAAAAGCCAACTCCAATAAATAAAACAACTGATCCCCATCATCCGCAGGTGAAAAAAAAACTCCACTAACAGTGGGTTCATTTCCACTGAACACCAAATTTAAACCCCGTATATATGCAACATTTAAAACTTAGTAAATTCCCTACAGCTGTCCCCAACAAACAAACTTTGTACATTATTTACATTATTCGGACTATTGTCCTCATCTTTGTCGCCATATTTATCACAACGTTTCGGCCAAAAAATCTCCTGAGCCGACCAAGCATAGAAATAAATACAAAATGGGAACCAGTAATAAGGAATGCCAGAGAAAAGCAATGATAACATCATAGTTGCAATATGAGCTCTGGTAAAAACATGCAATGATAACAGCAAAATTGCAATGTGAGCACTGGTAAAAATGGTTGCTGAAGACATTAGGTTTATAATACCCAGAAATTCATACTCAGATGAACACATGGACACATGGCACAGTGGATAAAGGCGTTAGTTAGATCCAGTGACAGGACCCAAAGAGTGTGAATTCAATACCCGGTTAAGTGGAGAACTTTCAGAGGGAAATTAACAGGAGATAACTGATAACTGACATCCATTACACATGGCATGTGGAACTAGAACAGTCTACCCTAGTGAGCGAAATAAAGGGTTCAGTTCGACATTCCAACCACCTGAAGAAGGCCGGAGCGTACAACGGCCGAAACGTTGTGATAAATATGGCGACAAAGATGAGGACAATAGTCCGAATAATGTAAATAATGTACATAATACCTCATCTCAGAAATATAGACAAACAAACTTTGTTTATGGATTTACCTGAAACTGTTTTGAATAGATATATAGTGATTTTTTATCCCGTGGGCTGCATTATTATTTCTTGGGCAAGATAGCCTGCCGGTATTGAATTCAGAGTACATATTCCGGTTGCCACCCAAGGTCATATCTGGGGGGTAGAAGAGGATTCATACCTTTCCCAAGGTGAATGTATAAATGAATGGAATGGACCCGACTGGAATTGGAACTCGGCTCTCCGATTCCTCAATCCGAACCGCTATCCATTACTCCACCGTATCTATGTAGTGCGATATAATATACTAACTCCATTCATCCATTCCCTTCAAATTGGGAGGACTGAGGAAGAAGAAGGAAAGGAATTCGTGAGCCTATGCAAAATTATTTTGTACCCCTCTATATATATATATAAATAGTATTTATTATTTTTGCTGTCAATGCTCAAGAACAAAGAAAATGTATAAATTCACTTTCACGTGTTTATGCTTTATTACAATTAAAAACATTATTTTTATAAAACAGTAAACATTGTCGAGGAGTGAAGGTAGTTATAATAAAAAAAGTGTCAATAGAAAAATCATCCTTTTGACACTCCATTTTTTTAGGTAGGCGGTGGGGGGGACGCGGATATCTAAGTTTAACGATTTTATAATCTTATATATAATAATTATGACCAGCACTGGGTGCTCGGTCAATGAATGACAAATGTCTCCTTATAAGGAAACAGCTAATATTGCTATTACCTTTATCATTAAGAGTAGGCTATCACAAATTCTTCTGTGTCGTGACAGAATCAATCATAAACGAAAATGACATGTTCATTATTAATTAATCATAGCTAAGGATCCGAAGCTCATGAAGGATTGAAATAAAGTTCAAATATATATATATATATATATATATATATATATATATATATATATATATATATATAATTCCAGGATCATTTTCCGACTTATTCAAGATTAACTTCGCCCTCTCTAACCTTCTAACTTTCTGTCGTGGATTAAAAGGTGCCTCACAGGTTTCACATAAGATTTTCAAGTCTTTTTTCACTACTCTTTGGACTGTCATAGCTAACACTCCTCAAACGCCTTATGAATTGAGTTGGATCTTTTCTACTTGACCTCTTTAGCTCTAAGTTGAATGATGATCCTTTTTTCTGTTGTGACATCCTGATCCAGTTTTCCTTTCTACTTTTCCCTCTTTTCTAAACTTGTTCACCGTTCTCTTGATGGTTCTTGAAAGGACTTTGAAGATGGAAGCCAGAGTATGAATGTTGGTACCATTATTGTAGACCTGAACAATCTTTTTCCTTTCACCATTGAACAGTTGGGAAGACATAGTGGGTCAGACACAAAACGATTTTAAACTCTTCTCTTTCTAGCTGAATAACTCAAATGGTTTTTCAGTGATTCTTACGACAAATGGTGTCAAAATGGCTAAACATCTTATCTGAAAACCCAGGAAAAAAGAACCCAATTAGTTTAGTGCTATTTTAGATATTAAATATTTTGTGGGATGAACAATTATCCTATGCTGTTACACGATTTGGACAATTTTGCTGTTACACCCGGTATATATAACTTCTAACTTTCTGTCCTGGAGTAACAAGGTGCCTCACAGTTTTCATATACGATTTCATTTTCAAATCTTTTTTCACTGCTTTTGGGACTGTCATAGCTGAAACTCCCCTCTCACGTGCCAAACGTCTTATGGATTGAGTTGGATCTTTTCTAAATAATCTCTTTAGCTTTAAGTTGAATGATGATCCATTTTCCTGTTGTGACATCCTGATCCAGTTTTCCTCTTTACTGTTCGCTCTTTTTAAACTTATTCACCGTTCTCTTGATGGTTCTTGAACGGACTTTGAAGATGGAAACTAGAGTATAAATGTTGGTACCATTACTGAAGGTCTGAATGATCTTTTTCTTCTCACCATTGCTCAATTGGGAAGACAATGGGGCTGACACAAAACGATTTTAACCTGTTCTCTTTTTAGCTGAATAATTCAAAGGGTTTTTTCAGTGATTCTTACGATAAATGGTGTCAAGATGGCTAAATGTCTTATGTGAAAACCTGGAAAAAGAAACTCAATTAGTTTCGTGTTTTTTAAATATTAAACATTTTGTGGGAGGGACAATTATCCCATGCTGTTACACGATTTGGACAATTTTGCTGTTACACGATTTGGACAATTTTGCTGTTACACAATTTGGACAATTTTGCTGTTACACTATTTGGACAATTTTGCTGTTACATCCGGTACATAATTAATATGTTTTCAATATTATGAATGTTTTGGCGTATTGGATAAGTAAAACCTATCCGGAAGGTCAGGGTTTGTTTATTTTTACACTTATTGTTCCTCAATAAAAGCCGCTCGAGGCACGGTCGGATTGGCTAGTATTGGCTGCAACCTAAGACTCAAGCTTGATTATAATGCTGGTTATAAAAATCTGTTGTTTTTTGTTCTTTTTACGCGGGAGACGCGTTAAACATTTGGTTGTG